CTAGAAGTATTTCTCCAAATCTCTCATCATCCTTGTTACTTGCCTCTGAACTTCCTCCAGTTTGTCCGCATCCTTCTTACTCTTGTGTTGCCCAAAGCTGAGAAAATTGTACCAGCTGAGGCCTTAGCACTGAGTAGTACACAATACTTACCCACCATGTCTTCAATATGCTTCTCCTACTAACGTGTTCTGGAATGATATTGCGGGGTTTTTTGGTTTCGGGGTTTTTTTGTTTTTTGCAAAAATGTTGCATTCTACAACTATCTACATAGCATCTAGCATAGCGTACCATGGTAGCTGGACAAAAAAAAAAATAAAAACCTCTTTCATACAGGATTGGCAGTCTAATTCAGGATCTGTAAATTTTTTGCAGATCCTCAGAAGGAAGGTACAAAGAAGGCAAAGGGTTGTTTTAAATATTTTCTAGCGTCATATTTGTATTCTCACTTTATTATTTCTTTTCTGTAATTTACACTCATTATGTTGTCCTGAAACCATAAAGAAAATGATCAGGAACCCCCACGCTGTCTCTGGGTACCCTCATGGCAATTAAACTGTCCAATACACAAGTGTGTGGCTGTAGCAATGGTTGCAGCTATTAGCTGTGATTATTTTAAAATGTCTTTTCCCGTCAAATCTTAGACTTGTCAAACTCACCCTTAATACTCATTTATTTATTGCTGGATTGGTTTAATTGAAAGAAAAACAATCCACAAACCTCAGGGAGGAAGTACTCTGCTCCCCTGCCCTCCTAACAACCTTTGACATTATTAGCTGTGACAAATTGATTTAAAGTGTGGCTGCAGGAAGAGGAGTAGGAAATCTCTGCTCTGCCTTGTGGGTGTTGTAGTCTTCCCTGCTTCCATGTGCCTGGGCAACAATAAGGAACTGGACTCTAACTCCCAGAGCTCCTCCTAGATTTTACTGCACAGGCTCAGAGACCATATGCCTGGAGGGGGTGGCTACATTGTGTCTATTGTATGGGGTTTTCTTTCCTGGCATTTGCACATTTAACAGGAGGTTTAAATTGGGAGTGAAAAGCATGGCTGATGAGCAAGAAATCATGTGCAAACTGGAAAGCATCAAAGAGATCAGGTATGTTTTCTTTTGTACAGCATCAGTTACATGAAGCTTTTTCTTCTTTTTATGGTATGGATAATGTACACTGACTTGAAAGTAGCTATTGTTATGCTACCAAACGAAAAAAACCCCAACCTCATAGCACCCCAGAAAAATCAGAGCCTTTATGATAGAAGATGGGCATCATATTTCTTTAAAAAAAAAAAAAAGTAGAAAGCTGCTGCTTTTGACAGCCAGTGCCTGTGGAACCAAATTGTAAGGTGGTGATTATCATGTACTTCCAAAGAATTACCCTCAAGCAATAAAATGAGGGGAAGGAGTACAGTGTAGCAGCGGATGAACCACTCGATCTGTTTAAAGAACAGCAGCATAAGGATTTTTTTAAATTCTTGTACACTGCTAGGATGAGATTTTTGGTTGCTTGTTTTTGGTTTGTTTGCAGGTTTTGGTCCCATCCATTCTTAACTTCCTTCTTGCAGGTTGCATAATGCACATATTTAATGGGATATAGAGGAAAAGTGGGCATAACAAATTGCAGGATATAACGAATGCATGTGGAAACAGAAGGGCTGCTCTAAAAATTAGGGAGGTGGGGCTGGAAAGTAGTTTCCAAAAAATTTAAATGGTTGGTGAGCCAGAATGACCTGTTACAGTGTCTGCTTAGCCAAGGCTCCAGGATATATGTACTGCAACACTGTTATAGACTGCAGAGGAATTTGGGGTTTATTGTGCGGGCAGTACAAAACAAAAACTGTCCCCTACAGAGATTTGTTTAGCTGATTTATTTCCCTCTTTCATCCCCATTTTGGAGAAAAGGCTGGGGATGATGGGGTAGGGTGAAACGTGGAGGTTCTTTTCCCGGTTCTCTTTCTGTTGCGTATAGAGGACTTTGGGGGACAAGGGGAGTGGGGAGATTGTAACAAGGGTGATGAAGCAGGGACATAATAGCTTTAGAGCTGCTTCTGCCTTCCTGAGAGAGGCTACCAGGAAGGCAGGCAGCTGGAGCTCTCCACTCTTCTGTGCCATCTAATCTACCATTAATTTTTATATAGTGTCCTTCATACAGTGAATCGCAGGATGTGATGCAGGGGGAGTCAATCAAACTGCAGTGCATGGCACTGACCTGGATTGTCTTTAAATGGCATGTTTGCACCTTTTTACTTCTGAACATTGTGGTTTGCTTATTTCCTCAGTTGTCTGCAATTAGCACGGACCTGT